AAAAGAGACAATGGAATTTTACAGAGAAGAAATTATTAAGAGGAAAGGTCAAAAAATAATAGAAAATGGGAGACAAACTAGGAAGTGATGAATTAATGTTTTAATAGTAAGAGACAATGGATGAAAAAGGAAAGCTAAGGGTTCCACTTGAATGTGTGTATTATTACTTAAGATGTATAACTGTTAATTGTAATAAATATGGAATTAATATGTTATTAGAGGATTAACATTAAAGATATATAATTGCTAATTGTAATAAACATGAAATTTAATATTGTAATTGTAATAAAAATGAAATTAATGTTTTAATATAGGATTATATCATCCATCACCATGGACTGAGGTATCACCAACATGCTGATGATACTCAGCTGTATGTCTCGGCCCGTGGGGAGTTAAGTGTTGCTGTGTCCTCCCTCTCGCAATGCCTGGAGGCTGTTAGGGGCTGGATGGGCAACAATGGGTTGAAACTAAATCCATGCAAGATCGAGTGGCTCTGCGTCTGGGGTTTGTTGGTTCAGGGGGAATTACCACCTTTAGTCTTGGATGGGGTGGCACTACCCCAAACAGACCCTGTGCGTAAACTGGGGTTTCTCCTGGACTCATGACTTCAGTTCAAAGAGCAGGTGGCGATTGTGGCCAAGAGGGCCTTTGCGGGTTGTACACCAGTTATGCCTTTTCCTGGATCAGTGGTCCCTACTCAGTCACTCATGCACTGGTCACTTCCCATCTTGATTATTGCAACGCACTCTACATGGGTCTGCCCTTGAAGAGCATCCAGAAGCTCCAGTTGGTGCAAAATGCAGCGGCCTGCATGGTTTTATGCAGACCCCTATGTGCACATGTATCACCTCTCCTGCAGGAGCTGCATTGGCTGCCAATTTGATTCTGGGTGCAATTCAAGGTGCTGGTTGTCACTTTAAAGCCCTTCATGGCTTGGGTCCGGGTTATCTGAGGAAACATCTCTTGCCAGTGACATCTACCCAACCCATCAGAGTGAGGAAGCAGGGAATGCTGCGGGTCCAACCCCTGAGGGAGATACACTTGGTGGGACCTAGAAGAAGGGCCTTCTCTGTGGTGGCTCCATCCTTCTGGAACATCATTCCCCCAGAGATTAGAATGCCCCCCTCATTAATACTATTCCAAAAGGCACTGAAGACCTGGTTTTGTCAGCAGGCCTGGGGAACCTAGAGAGGGATGGAACCCATCAAATGGCTAGTGTGACCCACTGTCGTCAGGGTGGGGGGGTGGGAACTGGTTTTTGTTTTTGTTTTGTGGTTTTTTTTGTTTTCCCAAAAAATTTTCTGTTGTACTTTACTAATTTATTTGATTCTTTTTGTTAGTTCTTATTGTTTTTATTTTTATTTTTGTTTTAAATATTTTACATTGTGTAAGCCATGGCCGAATAGGCGGCTATATAAATCAAATAAATAAATAAAATTACTATTAAAGATATATAATTGTTAACTGTAACAAAAATGAAAATTAATATTGTAAGGTAGGAAAAGAAATAACATGTGGAACCTGACAGATTTAAAAATAAGATAGTGAAATATGCTAATAGATAAAGGGAAGTATAGTATTCCTAGAATGGTGTAATATGTTAAATGTTAATAGGATGAATATTGTTTATTTTATTATAATTGGGAATAAGAAGAAATGTTGTTTTAATGTGTTGGAACAACCAAGAACTAAAAAGGGGATAAATAATAGAAAATACAAATTATTATGAATTTATGAATGGCTATTTGAATCATATAATTTGTTATATACTGCAAATATGAATATTAATATAGAATTTATAATAAAAGAAGTGAAGTTAAGAATATAGAAACTGATACAAAATAGTACATGAGAATATTAAATAATTAAAATTGATAATATGTACTAATATCAAATTATGTAAGAAAGTTAATAATATCAATGTGTCATGTTTGTTTTAAAATGTAAAACGACCTGGAACCACACTGTTCACGCAAGGATGTGTATATAAAAACACAAAATAAAAAATGTATTTCTAAAGTGAAGTGGCAGTTTCCCAGGAAGAAGATAGCATATTTGGGAAAGGAGAGATAAGACACAACACAACCTGGGAATGGACACAGAGGAAGAACCTAAGGACACACATTCCTTAAAATCTCTCAGGGTATATCCAGTGGTGGGCTGCTACAGGTTCACACCGGTTTGAGCGAACTGGTTGTTAATTCTGTGGCCAGTTCGGCGAACCGGCAAATCACATCCCTGGCTTGTCCCGCCCACTGCACCCCTCCTCTTCCAGGAGTCCCTGCGCAGCCCATTTTGGATCTCAGGTGAGTGCAGGGCCTGTGCAGAGGCTCAGGAAGGGTGAAAAATGGGCCTCCTGAGTTCCCTAGGATGGATAGGGGATGGGCCTGGGTCCTCCTCTGACTGCTCAGCTGGCCTCTGCCCTTCCCCAGCCTCCTCCACAACCTCCAGAGCCAAACTTCCACTCCCTATCAGCTGTTCCTCCTCTCCCTCAAAGTCAGTCTCCACCAGGGGCATGACAAGAGATCAGGAGGAGGAGACAAGGGGAGGCGAAAGGACAGCAGGGCTGTTGGTGGTCAAGTGCAAAGGCAGGACTTCCCTCAGACTCTCCCTCCTTCTCATTATAATCTCCTTCCTTCCTTCTCTTTTCTTCTTTTTCCTTCTCTCTTTCTTTTCCTTTCTTTCTTCTTCCTTCCCTCTTTCCTTCCTTTTCCTTCCTTGCTCTCTTCCCATCTTTCCTTCTTTTTTCTTTGTCTTTCCTCTTTCCTTTTCTCCATTCCTGTCCCTTCTTGGATGCTCAAAGGGGATGCCTCCTTGACTTTTGATCAAATGCCACTTTTGCTAGTAGTTTGTTTTGCTAGCACACTACCAGCAAAAATGGAACTTGAGAGGGCCACATGTGCCCTCTTGAGAGGGCCACCATGCTCCATTTTTGGCTGCCACAGCTACCTCCAGCATGCTGCCAGCCACCACCAGGTTGTAGATCAGCCACACGATGGGCCAAGCCAAGGCACCACAGGCAGGTCTTTCACTGTTTCCACGGTGGTCCCGAGAGCCAGATCTAAACACCCCATGGGCGGATCCAGCCTTGAGATTTACACCCCTGGTGTAGAATATTTTTGTAGTCATTATTAGATTTGGAACTAAACTACACTGAGTTTATCCAACACTGAGAGCCTTTAAGCATCTTATTCCTTCTAAAGCTATCCTAAATTTATTAGTTTATTGGATAAATTGAAAATGCATTGCAAATTAGGTATTATGAATATTGTTGTTTAGAAATATATAAATGTTAATGCATAATCTATATAAATGAATTTGGATATGATTGCTTATACTTTAATATGAGAAGGAGTGTTTTTTAGTATTTGAAAATACTACAGTTATAACAGTATAGCTGTTAATTTTAAAGGAACCAAGAATCAATTTCTTTTACTGAAAAAGGACCTGTTTTATCCTTTCAGATGCAAGGACTATATATTAACATCTTTATGTATATACATTTATTATATATGTGTAATTAATTATTTTCATTTTACACACAAAATAACACATTGTCTACATTAAGTTAGGACATAAGCTGGGAGAGATAATTTAGTAAATATATTAAGGATAAAAAATAAGAGCATTTTAAAAAATAGTGCAATTTTACCTTGAGAGATGATAAACTGAAATACTTTTAAGCTAATGAATATATCTAATATAAGTAGGAATATTTATTATATATATCAAGATTAGAATCTGTAAAGTTTCACAGTTTGTGAACTGATAAAATTAGAACACAGCAGACCTATATCAATCATACAGCATTGCTCACCACACTGTTCCTCTGACCTTATACAGCATGGTCAGAGGATACAGTGTTGCCTGATTCATCATCTGTAAACTGTAAGAGTTGGAAATAAATAATTAACTAAGTTATTATGTACAGTACATATTTATCTAAATCAATATTAAGAACTTTCTACTATATTAAGGATTAACTGGATAATAAATAAACCAATGCACTGTGGTGAAGAAGAACCTTTATAATGCTGGATTCTGATGTGAGAGAGGTAAACTTCACAGTCAAGATAACCTACAAGTTTTCACTTCAGTGTCTTAACAGTGTTTCAAACTAGTATTTATGTAAAATAATTTTCTAATTTGAAGATATAATTGGCTTGATTAAACTACCACTATTTATATAGTCCCATTTTCAAATTTATTCCTTACACTCAAGCTGTTTTTTCTAACTTGATAACTCTATGTGAGATTACAAATAATCAGCATTCAATTTGGTATAGTATATACTTCAACTCTGCCTGGCTAGATAGAATATAAAACCTCTCAGTTCTTCCATTCCTAATACTTGTGGCATAAAACCTACATCCAGCTAAAGGAAAAGAAAGAAAGTAGGTCTCTATTCTATCCTATAGAAAAATGGACAATTTTGGATCCTTGAATCTATTTTTGCAGAGTCCACAACCTAAACAAATACATGCAACAAATACAATTTCCCTGTATAATGAAAGCTATCTATTATCATAGGACCAAATCATATCCATAGCGTTAATTTGCAATAGTGAACAACTGAGCTTTTATCAAATGGAGTACTAGTGGAAGTTTTATTATGTTAGTTCCTTATACAATAGGCATATAAAATTAGAAAGTGAATATGAAAGGAAGCTTAACTGAAAAACTTAAGTATCCTCTCTGCTTATCATTAGCTTCAGACAAATAAAATATGATAAACATGCAAAATGTTCATATTTTTAAATATAAAATTTTTAAAATGATTTTAGATGACTACATTCTTTCAACTATAGTTTACATTTCTTGCTAAGAATACTTAATATTCTTCTTTCAAAATACATAATTGAAAAAGTGGAGATTCCCAGAATGACAGCCAACAACTCTACATTTACATTATCAATTATGCAAATTAGTAATGATCTATTTAATGTCAAAGTTATCCATAAAAATAGAAGTCTTTAAGACATGCAGAGACATCTCACCACTGGACTACTTCGTGCTGAACTTGGTCTTGAAGAGTAATAACTATATTCTGAAGGCTAAAAAACAAATGTTGTGAAATACATTTTCAGCTGTTTATTTTCACATACACATGCCAAATATATAAAATGAAGTTCCTATAGACTTACAGTACGATTACTGTATGATTTATACAATCCATCATCATATAATGATGCCTAGGGAATAGAAAATAGTGTTTGTTGTTATATAAAAATACAGAATAAACCTGTAAGTACTTTCTAATACAACATGAATGAACAATTATATAACATAATGCGTCTTATTTCATTTAGCTGGAGAACAGTGAAATGGGAAAGGGAAAGGACAACTTAAACAGGTAAACAGATATACTGATGAGGTAGAGGGAATGATATCAGTAGCTTATAAAAACAGAAAAAGAGTAATCTTTTAGTTTCTTTTTCGATGCATTACCAGCATGCAGACAGATTACAGTTAGTTCTCAACTTACAATCACAATTGAGCCCCAAATTTTCGTTTCTAAATGAGACAGTTGTTAAGTGAGTTTTATTTCCATTTTATGATCTTTTTTGACTAAGTTGTTAAGTGCAGTTATTTATTTGTTTAAGAAAATCTCTACAGATTTAAGAGCCCCCAGTTTACATACACTTTGTTTCTTCTCAAGATAGTTTCCTGATATCCTCCATTCTTATATTTTTTGCAAACTTAAGCTAAATATTTACAAAATAACGATATACAATGCTCTTCGGGAACAGTATGCTCAGAAAGCAGACTAAAGTCACCATGCAAATCTACATACGAACCAAACTGGTACTTCTTATCAAACCAGTGTTTACATCTGGAGAAGCCTATAGAACAGAGTACTTTTTTAGATTTCCAGTATACATAAATATTACAATACTTAAACATTATATATCATGTTACATTTTACTAACCCCGTAATTCTTAGTGGTTGCCAGAGGTTCATTGTATAGAGATGATGACTGTGAGAAGAATAAGGCACTGAATTATACTGAATGCTGTATAAATGATGCATATTGTTCATCAAACATGCAGATAAGGAACAGTGTGAGAGCACTGTCATAAAATGGTAGAACAGAAAGAATGCATACACAGTCCAAAGCTAGCAATAACAGCTTAAACATTCCATTAGATATTTAATAAAAAATGCTACCATAAGCCTGCACTGGCCCTATGATTTAGAACAAATCTCTTTAGAATAATTGCCTATAATACTAAAATGTGTTAGATTTATTAACAACATAATGGCAAATTAGGAAGTTGCATGACAAAAAGTGAAAAGAAATCTAAATTCCTGAACCTAGCTCTATTTCTACTTCTAACTTGATTCATGCTGCATCAACTAATATAGAGTCAAAAAAACCCTTCACTGGATCCTTGAGCAATTATTAATTCAAATGACGTTGAAATGAAGCAAAGCTTTTGTGCTAATTCTCATGCTGTTATGCTTTACTGAAGAAAAAAAATCTGTTCAGCAAAATAATTCATTAAAAAACAAAAACAAAAAACAAACCCGAGGTTGATAAGAAGGAAGTACTTTGCTATGTCTAAGACTGCTATAATTTCGCTGGTCGTGATAAAATCCACTCTGTTTAAAAAAATGACAAGAGTATAAAAGATATTCAAACACAAACATAATAAGCTGCAAATAATATTATCTTTAGTATTCAAAATATATTATAAGGCTCTAAAGTGCTTTAGTACAGTAAACAATTTCAGTTGATTCAGCTGAAGGCATTGTATTACATGATAATGCAATGTTTCATGTAAAAGCTCAAACTTTCTGTCTACTTTTTTACAAGCCTGGCAAGATTATTTGGTTATATGTCCACTTAACAAGATAATACTTCCCTATTATACAGTATCCTGAAACTGTGACAAATATACCATGTATGCTAACTTCACAATGTAATAAATTATATTTACTATAGTAGATGGAAGATTTGAGAAAATTGCTACTTTCATTTTGCTATATAGATAACTTCTCAGATTTAATCAATTACCACATGCAAACAACAAAGTTCCAGAAACTTAAAAGTTCTGAAACTATTCACTAATGTTCTTTAAAATATCAGGGTATTTAAGCTTCATTGCAATAATTCACTGAGGTTATAACAAATATAAACCTAGTCAAATATTTCCCCTTATATAAACTGTTTTCTGGTGGAATGTCAAACACTACTGAGAGGCTTAATAAAGAAAATTCCGATAATATAATATACAATGAGAAGCAACATTTATTTTCATGATTCAACTTCAACAATCTAAAACATTTCAGAAAAAACTCACACAAGCAATCACATATTAGAATCAAGGCAACAAAGCTGAAGTGGAGAAGTCAAAATTTTACCAGGATCAATAATAGTTTCAACATTTTAATTTTCCTCACAGTGCGTCTTTTATAGAAAAGCATAAAATTCAAGCAAGGAAAATTACATCTATTTCAATAACTCCATTGAAATTCATAAGTGATAAAAGAGAACTAAAAGTTAGGTTTGCTAACTATTAGAAGAACCATGGTGGCGCAGCAGTTAGATTGCAGTACTGCAGACTAACTCACTGCTCACTCTAAGAGTTTGATCCTGAACAGCTCAAGGTTAACTCAGACTTCCATCCTTCCAAGGTCCGTAAAATGAGGACCCAGATTGTTGAGGGCAATATGCTGACTCTGTAAACTGTTTAGAGAGGGCTGTAAAGCACTGTGAAGCAGTATGTAAGTCTAAGTGTTATTGCTATAGCACTAAATTCTATATAAATTCTTAAAATTAAAACTAAAATTATAGATTAAAGGGAACATGCACATAATAAATAAAACAACTATTACTAAATGTAGGATTGAACATTAATGAGTTGGAAGAGAATCAATAACTAGAAAACCTGTGGATATACGGTTTCCAACTTGAGAACTAGGATGTAATCATATTTCATCTGAAGTAGCACATAGCTTGAGACTTTTCCTACTTTCATCTTTCTTAAAAGGATTTGGAGTTCTAGATATTTTTACTTTGTGGACTGTATATGCTTCACCCGCTTAGGCTGATTAAATAGTTATAACCAATAATTTATTTCCTGGAACTTCCCATCTATCTACTACAATTCATTTATCTTTGAATACAATAGTTGTAGCTACCACCAAATATGGGTTTAAGAGAAAAAGAAAACACTAATTTTAAAGGTACATTGGTTTTAAAGGAACTATTCTGGCTTCCAAAAAGCTTCATGTCAGGATTCAGAATATCATTAGCATCATACATATGTATTAATGTTTTGATAAGTTCTATATAGTCACTGTAGGTACCATGTTTATATTGACTCAATTCTTTTCATCTTTAGTTCCAAAATCACTGCATAGCCCTAGGTTATATGATGACTTACAGATTATTCCTGTTTTTAAAGTTAATTATCTTTTATTGAGATAAGTTAATAAAGCAAACATAGGATACATTATGTAAAAAATATTAAGAGGTTTTATAACAATTCCCAATTGAGAACACTAACCAACAGATCTTTACGAGAGCTAGAAGACTTCTTCCCACCATAAGAATCACTGTAAATATGGCTCTGTAAAAATTATAAAAGTTACAATTATGAACATACTGTAATTATCATCCACATAAATAATTATTAACATAAGTGTTATCCATGTAAAGAATTTTAAATTATAACATTGCCATCTGAAAAAATATTTATAAGCAAAATTAAGATCAAATCAAATTAATTAAGATCAAATCAATTAACATAATAATTATGTTAATTAACATAATGAAAAAATGTATTTTTCCTTTGGGTAAAATAATAACTAACAATAACAATGATAAGATACCGACAAACATTTAATAGTTGACATTTAAAGTTGTAAGTTTTCAGAAATTATAGGTGCTTATCAAGATAGCTCATGATAGAAAAATCTTGGTAGAAATGGTTTGCACAAAACATATGCAGAAAAGCATGCCAACCCTCATTATATTTGCTAATGAATTTTATTAAAATACATATCCACAATTTCATATTGGATGTACAGCATAAGGTAGTTGATCCAGAAATACAATTCTAGTCAGAATTTTATAAATTCTCACAGCAAAAAAATGCATCCTCATCAAAGTAGAGAAGATCTATCAGAAGGAAGAGAGTATGTATAAGTCTAGCTAGAACTTTGTCAAAGGTAAACTTTCTAATCAAGATAGGTTTTCTAGTACTCTTGTGATTTCTGATGTACAAAACAACTGTGCCATTCTTTTACTTCCAGAAATACCAACTGCCTTGCCCAGGTCTTGTAAAACTGAAGAAATTGTTTAAGAGTTACATATTTATTATGTATTTGCACAGAAGAGCAAACCCAGATGAAGCAGTGCTAACACCAAGATTTTTAAATTGATGCAGATTTATGAATTGAAATGGTGATCTGCTTTGAAGAAACAATTCTGATTGAATGACTCTGAAATATTTCAAAGCAATTTAGAAATTTAATTTTTCTATTCATTGTAATGTGATATTGTAACTTAAATTATATATAAGCAAGAAACAGAGGAGCTACCAGGGGAAAATGTGCAGGAGTGCCACAGGAATGTGACAGAGGCCAGGTAGGGGGTGATGGGTGAAGAGATCCAGTGTGTGGAGTTCATGCAAGCACAGAAAGGCATGGAAGGAGGGTACTGGGGTGTGAGTGCTGGGAAGGACAGAAAGAAAGTGTGGGATGCATCCCTGTGTATGCCAGCTCAAGAAGGTAGGAAAAGAGTATGAAGGGTGTCTGCATTCAAGTACAGGGAAGCATGGGAAAAAGGAACCATGGTGCATGCCTGTGTATGTGTTCAGACAGGAAGCTGCTAATGGATGAATGTGTGTATGGAGTGCAGGGGGGCTGGAAAAGAGGGCATAGACTGGATGTAAGTGCAAGGAGACCCACAAAGGACAGCATGAGATGCAGTGTGTGTGTGTGTGCATGCTTGGAGGCCTGGGAATAAGGACATGGGGCATATGCATGTGTGTAGCTGCAGGAAGGCAGGGAAAGTGGATACAGAGTGCTTGTATTTGTGCAAGGGCAGCAAGGCCAGAATAGAAGGTATGGGGTGCGTGTCTCTGTATGTGCATGTTTGCACATGGACATGCGCACAAGTGTAGGGACCCTGGGGAAGGAAATGTAACCACCCTCAATTCATTAGAAATAGTCAATTTATTTTCATATGTATAGTTTATATGCGCACAATTAAACTTTATAGATATTTTATGGACACGAATATTTCCAACACAGCATTGTATATGAGCAAAAATTTAATCTATACTATTTCCATGTCACTTTTTACTGACTTTGTTACATTAATCAATATCTCTGTATGTCATGCAATAACCAGTGGTTTTAAAGTCAATAATTTTAAATTGTTTTTTATCTCTCTCATGTGCACACAGTTCACACAATGAAAATTTTATTAAATATGCCATTATTATTAGTGCATAACAAAGTGTTATATGACCAAAACACATCATGCTGATCTGGAATACAAACCATTAGATCTCTTTTCCTGAAATTACTTGGTCTATTCCTGTGGGGCCCACTGACATCTAAGGAAAGGCTCTTAAGAACAAAGTTATGAAAAATTATGAACCTCAAAAGTTGATTTTATTACAGAACAAAATGGTTTTGGTAAATTTTATTCCTTGTAATTCTAAAAAATTTTTTAATAACAGTTTTATATTAACTTAAAGCATTATGTTCATGATGTCAATTCTCATCATTTTAATTCCCATCATATTTACCAACATAATGAATTTCTATACTAATCTTTTCTTTGGAAGTTTAAACAAATTAATATTACAACATTTATGTGGTGAAAATATCTAGCTCCTTGAAAATCAAGCTCATCAGTAGAGAAGAAGTATTTTCAGACTTAAGTTTTGCTAACTTAAAAACTCCCCCGATGAAGGGGTGGCTGTAGTAGAAGGATGACTGTGATGATGGACAGAAGCTGATGACAGAGGGAAAGCTAAGGACAACAGGAAGAGCTGCTGTTGGATTTCTCTATTTAGACGTGTACCAATTTCCTAAACTTTCAATGTGGCCTAAACTTGAACCAGCTGACTGCCCAGAGAAGTGGAATGCCAGGTGGGATGAAAGGAAACGATTTAAGGATAATCACTTAATTTGCTGAGAAGAGTAAATGTAAAGGACATATGCAGCTCCTTATATCTTTAGCTGGAAATTATGAAATGATTTAATTGAATAACATTTGTTTTTTTTTGTTTTGTTTTTTTTTAAAGCATGTACCTAAGCTTTTAAGGGCCACATGTGAATACAGATAATCAAATTCCTTACATCTTGATGTTTCCAATGTTTGCTTTTGACAGCTACAACTACTAGTGAGTTCCCCACCTTTCTGCTATAGGAGTTATTGTCAAAACTAACTTGCTTTAAATTAATATATTAACCTTGCATACAGTTTTATATCTTATAGAAGAAAGTTTTTTTTAAACTTCTATTCTCATTAGCCCTTCACAGCATGGTCTTTTATAAGGAACTCCAACATCTGGAAAATGTATTGAGAATTGTTTTCAATGTTCAAAAGGAATTAATTATAAGAAAATGAATACAGAATTACTTCATCTATCATCTTCTACAACAATATACTATTTTAATTTACTCAAAAACTCTTAATTAAAAATTACAATTCACTTTCCAATTCATAAATATTTTCATGGGGAGCCCTTTGGACCAGAGTGCTTTTCTTTTCTTATTAAAGGATTACAAATTCACTAGTAAGATTCAGTACTGTCTCTGTGTGTATGCAAAGCCCCAAAGGAGTTTGTTTTCACAGGCATACACAGTTTATTCATGTTAATATATTTTGCAAAATTCTAGTTTGCACATTAAGCCAAACCACCTTAACTACATATTAAGTTGTAGTTATAATTGACAAACCACAATGATCGGTTCACACAATATTCTAAGACAAAACTAAACATATCACATTATGTTTAATGTAAAATGTGAATTACAATGCAAGGCACCAGTATAGTTATAATAATTCATATTTTTATTATTTAAGCTAACTAAAATTAACTTTAAGCAATGTTTCACTCTTGAATTTGAATTCCACTTCAAACTGCAGCTCATTAGCTAAACCATGGAAATTTAAAAACCATGCAAGATAAATACTGTGCTGACAAAATCTTGAATTCAGAAGATATTTAGCTTAACCAAGAAATAACATCATTATGTATTTTAATCCACGTCCATAAAAAAATTCTTAAATTTATTCTAAGAAATTACATTCTTCTATTTAAAGAATCTTTGAAATGTTCAAAAAATTCATTCTATATTCAATTCTGTGTTGCATTATAATTTGCATACAAACTTATTAATAATCTCATAGCAAACTCAAATTCTAAACTATATTAGTAAAAAATTACCACATTAATTTTATTGAAATAAATTTTAAATACTAACCCCGTGACTACCAGTGTTTTGAGAGGATACCAAATCACCTGCTCCCTAATAAAAAAAAATTAAATAAATAATTTAAGCAACCTTCATAAAAAGTTAAAATCAAAACAGATAAAGGCTGAATATATGCTTAAAATAAATCTAGCTTTAGTACAAACCAGGTATGACTGCCAGCTGGACTGGAATGAATGGCTAGCCTTCTCAGAATTTTCCTAAGAAAATATTTTAAAATGAGAGATTTTAAGGGATTACTAAAATGATGGAAGCTAATTTTCATGCAAATATGCATCACAAGCTTCAATTTACATTACTTTGTCTAATTATTTTTCAATATAACAACCCAACATAATTTTAATTTAATTGCTTGTGTAATGTTTTAAACTTATATAAATTAAGTACGCACTATTTTTAAAAAATCAAAACATTGGTCAAACTTAAAAAGGCATATTTGTTCAATTAAGTACATGTGTCACATTTTCCATTAGAGAATTAAGCTATTTCTTTTTTTAAATGTTTTTAGCTTTTTATATTTTATTATCCCTTGTAGTAATAATGCATCTGCAAAAATTTGATTAATAAAAATATTTTAATTAAAGCATTACATTAGCCAATCTAATTTGTACTATGCTGGGCTATATGAACGGATGAAAATAAATATTACATTACATAGGTGTAGATAAGTGGCTAATGAAAACATACATGGATTACAAAGTTTGATAGCTATCTCCAAGGAATAAAACATGGCTCAAAAATTAACATGAATTTTGACATTTTAAAATGTCTACACTAAATATATACTTGATCTGTAATAAAATAGAGATTAGAAGCATATAATTTTCAGCTCATGAAAGTTTGAGTATAACTTACAAATCTTCCTAAATTGTTATCAAATTGTAATTTTTAATGCATCAGAAGGATGCTATTTATGGGAAACATTATATATAATTTTATTTAAATATAAATAATAATTTTGGCATGCATTCCTCTGGTATATGTCCTGGATAGTAATTTTCAAGCATAAAATTATTTATCTTTATAAAGGCTTTTTATCTTAGAACTATAATTAAAGAAGAGCAGTAAAATATGTATGTATTATCAACCCTGAAGCAAAGCTGGCTGAGGCTATCTTGGATGCTTCAGGGTTACCAAAAGGAAGAAGAAGGTACAGGGAGGGGGGAAATAGATAGCTGGTGGTTTGTAGTCAAAACAAAAAGTTTTCCTGTGGGAATCAAGGACATTCCAACAGGTGACTGCAGAGGGGAGGAGTAGAGTAACCAAGCATCTGGCCAGCACCTCTATTGGACAATGTGGCTGATGACTTGGGAAAAGTGGAAACTTTCACTTTTTAATCTGGTGAAAACCATGGGAACTTTCAGAGTTGGTTTTCACCAGTTGTGCCAATATGATATATCCAATAAATAGTTTCTTGAGGAATCTATCTGCCTTGGAGTTCTGCTTTCTATGGGTGCATTATTTGGAACACTGACATGTACACTTGTTAGATTAAAATATGCTGGATTTGAGTCAAATCGGGAATAAGCCACTTTTCCTTAAATAGGCTGGGGAGTCAAACGCAAGGCCTATGGGCTGGATCTGGCCCATGGGGTGCTTAGATCTGGCCCCTGGGGCTGCCCTGAAAACTTAGCAAAGGACCGGCCTGCAGTACCCCTGCCAGTGAAAATGGGAGCCCGAGAGGGCCTCCTGGGCCCCGTTATCAGCCATGATGGCATCCTGCCTGCCTCTTTTTCATTGTAGCTTTAAACAGGGCCCAGGAGAACCCCCCTGAGCTCAGTTTTTTGCTGGCAGAGGGCTGCAGGAGGCTCTGGAGACCAAAAATGGCACCCGGGAGGAATGCAGGTGGTCCCCTGAGCTCCGTTTTCACTGGCAGAGGGATAGCTGCTAGCAAAATGAACCAAAAACAAAACAAAAGGAGAAATGTTTCCCCTTTTGCATTTGTACATGCAAGAAGGGACAGGAATGGAGAAAGGGAAAGAAGAAAGACAAAGAAAAAGGGAAAAGGGGAAAGACAAAGAAAAAAGGAAGAGAGCAAGGAAAGAAAAATAAGGAAAGAGTGGAAGGAAGAAGAGAGGAGAATGAAGAAGGAAGGAGAAAGAAGAAAAGGAAGGAAGGAAGGAAGGAGGGAGGGAGGGAGGGAGGGAGGGAGGAAGGAAGGAAGGAAGGAAGGAAGGAAGGAAGGAAGGAAGGAAGGAAGGAAGGTTGGTTATAATGAGAGTGAGGGAGTGTCTGAGAGAAGTACTGCCTTAGCACTTGGCCACCAGTGGTGCCCCTAACATGAGTGATGTTGAGCTGGCCATGCCCACCCTGCCCACGCCCATGCCAGCCTCCCAAGGTCAAACATAATCCTGATGCAGCCATCAATAAAATCGAATTTGACACCCTTGAAATAGGCTATAGGAGAAGTAGATTTTAAGATAACCTAATAAGGGATGGTTGTTACTTTTTTAACTGTGAAATGTTTTATGCCTTATACATGTGTTTCCCACTTAGAATACCAAGAAGTTTCATTTTTCATTATCATAATCACAATAGACTCAGAAGGCTGCAATCTGCCTTTCCCCATTTACATTTATCTCATATACTTGCTATATAAATAGTAAGAAAATACTCTTACATATATACTGATGACTGAAAAATACAGCTATGTTAAAACTGTGATGCAATAAAACTAGAAAACTAAAAACTAAATAGTACTAGAAGCCCATTATTATTTACATCGTATAGTATAAACAACATATTTATCCCATATAATCTTATGATATATACGGTATAAATATCAGATACTTTATAATTTAGAATATTTATTCTACCTATATGTGACTCCTCTTCTCGAGGAATATTACTTTTGAATATAAAAATGAAAATAAAATATGATAAAAACTAAGTACATTTATTATTAAAATTCAGAGTGAAATTACAAAGGATATAGGTGAACGTAAACTATTCCATTTAACGTAATTACTCATATATCATTTTCTGTTAAAGAATCCCATTGATCCATTTATTAGGCCACATAAAATATGTCTTCACTTTGGATCATTTGACATTCCGTCCACTTATTATAGTCTTTAAAGCACAGTTTTTCATATCTTAGAAGGCTCTATTAACATACAATATAATTTAACTTGTATGTAATACTGAGAAATTGTTATGTTTGAAATCATTCTCTAAATAAAGAGTAACCACAGGAAAATCAGGCTTATTTTGTCTTAATTAAGTTTACACAAGACAGATGTGTGGTAATGTAGTCATTTCCTCTATTTATCCCATACTGAAATGAGATATATAATTTTGGACATGATCCAACAACCCTAAATAATAGTTTTGGCAATGCATTTTTCTGATATATGCCCTTATAATTCTAAGATTTAAGCAGGAAATGTAGGCAAATTATGATAATTCTCCTATATTGATATTTGTATTAATCTGCATTTTATGTATTTCTCATGTACATATATTTATACATTTAAAATGTTTTCACCATGACACATTATTTTTTTATGAAATTTCATATATTAAAATATTAGGAAATAAAACACCACAATCAGATTAGTTTTCCCAGACAAAAGCACCACAAAACACGCAATCATGGCCTACCATCCATCTCTGGATATGTCCCCATTTTCTATCATAAGAACGCTGAGAAAGCTACAAAAAGGTAGAAAATCTGGTTTTTAAAGGGTAATACTTCAGTAATTTATTACTAATTTAATTAATTAAGTATTAACTTAATTTATGTCAGCTTTCATAATTCTGCTTACAAAATATAGATTATTTTGCAATACTGTCTAGAAAAGTAGAATTCTACTAGCAATTTAAATATTATTTAAATTCAATACTATAAGGACAAAATTGACCAATACCAATACATTTGTAGTAATGAAATGATTGTTAAAACTTCCATAAATCCTCATGTATTATCCCAGATTCTGAATACATATTGCACAAAATAGAATACATTATTTTTATAATATAGAAATGTTATTCTGAAACATGAAACCCATACTCTGCATGATTCCCAGTAGCTACTTGTGCAGACTATCTTTGTTTCTTTTGATTTCTCCAGCACAAAGTCTTCCTTCTATAGTATTGCAATCTTATAGCTGTTATAGTAACTTCGAATTATTGCACTACAAACATCCTCTTTGTCCTGTTTTACCACACAATGGGGTTGCCATGTACAGTATGTCTATTCACAAACAAACAAATACATAGGCATTCATTTACACACACACGAACGCACACACACACACATATATGGTACCTTATATAACATATGCTGAAAACACTGAACATCTCTGCTACAGAGTAACATATTCAATATACTATAAATATATTTATACAGATAGTTCTTGAGATACAACAGGTCACTTAATGGCCTTTTGAAGTTACATGCCCTCCAAAAGCTACATATGACCTTGTTCTGAAGTTATGGATGCTATAAGTGCCTCCATGATCATTTGCTCTTACTTCTGACCAAAAGGAAGCTGCAGCACCCTCCTGCCTCTCTCCCTTCCCATTCAACCCCACTGTATCCCACAGCGCCTGGGTCTGCTCAGCTGCTATTTTCAGCATGCTAACAATTCATTGCAAAAAATGACAGCTGCTTTCATAGCTTTCTGCCCTGATCAGCTGGTTGTCAGGAGACTGCAGATCTCTCCTAGCTCTTGCTAGACTTTGGAGAAGCCAGCTGCCCACATGCAAAAACAGCAGCTTCAGGAGAACTTAGCAAACCCTTCTTTGCTTAACCCCCTCCCTGTGTTCAATAAAGAAAACAGAAAAAAAGTTGGGGGAACTTGTTATTCTTTCTCTCCCACCCCTTAGGTACTTAAACTAAACTCTGTCAGAGTTTATGAACTGGAATAGAGCATGGTAACATGGTCAGCCAATGAATAGGCATAGCAACTAAGACAGCCAATGAGTATTGTTTGGAAACTGAAAATAGAAGTAGCCTAGGCGTGGCTCTATCTATATTAAGCTCTACAGCTCTGAAGCTATGTTAAGTTCTGAGTCTGTCTATTGAAAATGAAACTGCTTCTCTCCTCTGCTGTGTTTTGCTTGCCTGCTGAACAAAAGTGAAACTGATGTCTGTTTCTAAGCTGAAGTTGAGTTGCTGTTTTGCTCTGAACCTGTAATACGTCTGCTTCTGTTTGAGTTTGCTTCATGTTGGAGAAATCTACAACTGGTATTGTAAAATTTATTTTATATGTTTATAAAGAAGTTAAATTGAAGCCTCAGTCATTTGTGTTTACTTTTCTGGTGCTGAATTTATGCTGCAATACTCTGAACAGGTTATGGGCCCAGAAAAAGACTGGTTGTAATTAAAGCTGAGGGACTGCCTGTTTTAAAAGTAAGAAACCATTTGTCAGAAATGGTATAGGGTCTCCTGCTTGGGCGGGGGGTTGGACTACATGACCTACAAGGTTCCTTCCAACTCTGATTATCTGTTAATCTGAAACAAGGCAAGAGGCTTTGCAAGATGGCTGAAAAAATTAGAGAGAGCTCTCTACCCTGTTTGAGTCAGAAGAACTGTATTATTTGGGCTGCAAAGATGGAATGTTTCTTAAAATATAAAGAGCTGTGGAATACTGTTGAAAATCCACCCCAGGCACCATTGAATGCTGCAGATCTGAAGCTGCATGGTAGAGCGTTTGCTCATCTTAAGTTTAGAAGATAATCAGTTTACCAATGTAGCTGATTTAAAGACTGCAAAGGAAGTCTGGGATAAATTGAGGACTGTTCATGTGAGTGTATCACCAGGCAACACCGTACAATTATCAAGAAAGTTATATAGAGCTCATTTGCAGCCAGGAGATTTAGTGGAACAGCATTTTGTTCATATGCAAACTTTGTTTTGTAAAGTTAGAACAGCATGGGATGAGATTCCTGGATCTCAGAAAGTGCTGCTAGTTTTGAACAGCATAAATGAAACTTGGGACATTGTGCAGTGTTTGAATGCAAACCAGACCAGGAGCTGCATTTAGAAGGGGGCCCAAGGAGCAGAATGGAAAATTCCACAGACTGGCTGTTTCCAGAGACCAGAAGAGCAGCAGGGGATATCAGACTACAACCCAGCAACAGAAGAGGTGCTTCATTTGTAGTGAAATGACTCACTTAAAGAAAGACTGTTTAGAAAGGGACTGTTTGTAAGACAGAAGAAGTTTGCAAGAAAGACAATTAGCTGATGGACAGGCTGCTGTTGCAAAAGTCAGTGATTGCAGGAAAAATCAATGGCTATTTGACAGTGGGGCTAGCCAAATGATTATTAATAATGCTAAATTGTTTTACAGGGTGGATGCAACTGCTGGAGACACAGTAGCCTTGATAAATGGCAAGAAGGCTAAAGTCATTGGAAGAGGCAATGTGCAAATTCCATATTTGGAAACAAGGTTTAATAATGTTTTATGTGTGCCAGAAATGGAATATCATTTGCTGAGTGTCTCCTGTTTAGACAAGCAAGGATTTGAGACCACATTTGTAAATGGGCAGTGTCTTATAAAGAAAAATGGAATTGTCTATGCAAAGGGCATAAAGCATGATAACCTTTATATGTTACAGGGACAAAAAGTTCAATGTGCACAAACATTTGGCAATGTTGCAAAACATGATTCGTGTGTTCATTTTTTACACAGAAAGCTTGAGCATGCCAGCTTCCAAGTTTTTCAAAAGTTGGGCCAATTTGCAGAAAGCTTAAATTTAAAGGGATGTAAGGCATATTTGGATTGTGCAGTATGCAAAACATCAAAGCCCAAGGCATTCCCAATAAGCAACAGTAGCAAAAGGCAGACAACAGCTGATAAATGCAGACTTGGTAGGCCCAATGCAAACCAGTTTGGGAGGAGCTAAGTACGCGCTGGTCATTGTAGATGACTATAGCAGGTTTGGGTTCTGCTATTTACTGGAGTAAAACAGGTGCTACAGAAATTTAAGCAATGGGTAAGCTTTGTAGAAAGAAGGTATAAACAAGAGATATGTCATCTGCAAACTGACAGAGGTTCAGAATTCATGTCAACAACTTTTCAACAGTGGTTGGCACGGTTAGGTATAAAACACAGACACACAAATACTTACACAGTAGCTGAGAATGGTATTGTTGAGAGATGTAATGGAGTCTTGCAAACCATGAAGGACTCACTGCTAGAGGATTCTGGTCTAAGCAGGTCATATTGGGGTGAAGCCATATTGACTGCTAATTATTTAGTAAATAGATTGTGGTGTTCCTCTATACTCCATATGCAGTGCTTTTAGGAGAAAACCAGCTCTAGCACTCTCTAGTGTTTGGAAGCAATATGGGGGTACATATTCCAAAAGCAATTAGAAGAAAGGGGCAACCAAAGGCTAGAAAGTTCAGGTTTGTGGGCTATGAGCCAGGCTCAAAAAGTTATCACTTTAGCGATGGGAGCAAAATAGTATTTTCAAGGTCTGCAAGCTTTGCAGAGCAAAATTGGAACAGAATTGATGCAAATTTGTGCAATGATTCACTTAGTGACAGTGATCCACTTAGTGATGGTAACTCACTTAGTGACAGTGTCAGCATTCAGGGAGGAGAAGCTGAACAAGAGATGAAGCAAGAGAGGGTTGACACAAAGCAGCAGTCAGTGCCACGCAGGTCAGAGCGATGGAACAAGGATTCCACCTGACAGGTATTCTGCTAGTGAAGTTAAAGTGTGTAAAATATGTGTTGGGTATATGAATACTCCAACCAGGTTTGGGTTGAATAAATATGTAAACCTAGGATTAAGTGCTATGTAGCTTTAAGCACATAAACTGCAATGTCATTGTGGGTGCGGTTGCAGGCAGCCATAAAGGTAGGAGGGGAAACGTAATATCCCCGGCTTCTGGATGCAACTGTCTGAGTCACTGGCTTCTGGATGCACCTGGTTACTGTTCCTAGTCTGCTGCCTACTGTGTATTGGAACGTCTATCTGCTTACCTTGGAGGCTACTGTGCCAGATACCATTTCACCTGAACACAAGGACTGTTTACTGGTGAGCTGTGGATTCAGCGTTAGTATTTGAGAGAAAGGTATCTTAAGAAGAAGATATACAAGCAGATAAGGACATTGTATTTACTGTAAATAGACTTGATAACTGGATTGATAAACTGGATACTGACATATGGACTGAATGACTATTCTTAATCTCTGTATGAATTAAATACCTATTTAAAACAACAAACAGTCTTTTTGTCTCAAGTGTGTGTATACTCTTGGGCCCAGCCTCTCTCTCATTTGGCTGCCTGGCTTGACTGCTGCTGTGCACTCAGCTCGGGGGTTTATCCCCAAACACTAACAATATGGTATGAGCCAAGGAATTACAAAGAAGTATTTGCATTATCTAAAATTGAACAAGTAAAATGGAAAGTTATAAAATGGGGATCGATGCAATTGCATTGGATAGTTATAAAAAGGAATTCTCAGGTATTTGGAAGGAACTGTGAATGTGGGTCTTCAAATACAGGTATCTGAAGAATATTAAACGTAATTGAATTTATGTCTATTCCAGTTATGAAGGGAGGAGTGTTACAGTATAGTCATGAACTGGAATAGAGCATGGTAATATGGTCAGCCAATGAACAGGCATAGCAACTAAGTCAGCCAATGAGAACTGTTTGGAAACTGAAACTAGAAGTAGCCTAGGCATGGCTCTATATTAAGCTCTGCAGCTCTGAACAAACTCTCTGCCATTCCCCTTCAATCTCTAGTCTATTCCTTTAGTCACCCCATTTGCTAATTTTTCTGCACGCCTGAAAACATGATGACAAAATCTGTAAGTTACTTACCTTGATGAGTGACCACCAGGTTGAAGAGTAAAAGAAAGGAAGGAAGGAAACAAAAACAAAACACTTTTTGCAGCTTGTTTGCAAACAAGCTGCATTGAGGAATTGAAGAAAAAGTTCAGTTCAAAAACTTAAGCCAGCTATAGCACAACACATGGAGCAAATGGCCAGTCATCACAGAAGCTGGATTCTTGAAAAACTTTTTGCTGTTTATCTGACTCCCTTTAGAGTAATCCTAGCTAGGTCCTAAAGGAAGTCACAAAAACAGCAAAAACCTTGGAAACCTTCTTTGGAAAGATTTTTGCTGCTTGTCTGACTCCCTTTTGGGACCAAGCTTTTGCAGCATGTGGCCATTTGCAGTCTCCCAATGGCCAGTTGATCAGTACATAGGCCCAGTTAAAAAGTGTGGTTCATCAGCCATGCTACCAGCTTGTTTAGAAGCCTCTGGCACTGGAACTTGATGTTGAACCCTAATCTAGCTGGAGTCTTTCCCCCACTTCCCTGTTTTGGGCTATGCAAAGCTTTTTGCTGCTTGTTTCACTCGTGTATTGGCCCAGGTGGGTGATAGGCCTCCCAGGGCCTCCCAGAGTCATGAGGCATGCCATACTTAGTTTAATGATCCCATGTGTTTGTTTAACAAGGGCATCAGGGAGATTAGATAATGGGGTTAACAAATGAGGCTGTTTCATTTAATGACAATTCCCATTATTGAGGGCAGGCTACATTATATCCATAGGTTGAACAATATCTGTAGTAATAATATTTTCTTTTAAAAGCTTTCTACATTGCTTTACAAGAAAAAGGAAGTCTATTATTTGTATATAATAAATGCAAGATAGTATTTTCTTCCGATAGTACATACCTCTTTTTGTTGGCGTTCCAATTCCCTCATGCGTATATCCCTTGCTTCCGCTCGGGCTGCACGTTTGGCTGCAAGGCGTGCTTCTGCCTGTTATATTGAAAATACAGATGCAATTAAGAAAACTAGCATTACCAAATACAATACAAAACAGGGATCAACTTTTCCACAATTACTTTAGGATTTTAGAAAAAAAGTTAATATTAAAAGGGGAGGGAGGAAGACAAGAAGGAATGAAAAACCTGTGTGCTTAAAATAACAATACTAAATAAATATCTAATTTTCAATAACAGGCTTAAGTTTTGTGGTAAAGCTAGATCAGTAGTTCCCATAGTGGGCCGTACCGCCCCCTGGGGGGCAGTGGGATGACTTAGGTGGGTGATAAGAGGCAAGGTGAGTGGCAGAGGTGTGCTGGAGGTGAGCCCCTTGCAGGGCGCAATTCAGGTTCCTCCCCATCCCATTTGCCTGGCTTACTGGTGGCCCAGAGGAAGACAACCAGGGAGCACGATGCTATGCTTCCTGCATCATCACTTGCCTGCCACCGCTTCCCTCTGCTGCCCGCCAGCCTGAGCACTTTGGCTGAATGTGGGCCGCCACTGTGAGAATGATGCAAATCAAGCCTCACGAGAGCAGATCTTCCATCCATCCGCAGCAGCTTGTGCTTTCCCGACTGTCTACAAACTTATCTTCCTCCCACGGCTGGTGGCAGAGGGAAAGGTGAGCCAGTCAGGGTGGGCTGGTTCACCTTTCCTGCAGCTCACTTCTCCCACAGCTCCTGCGAAGGGTGAGGCTACAGCCTCACTTGAAGTTCCTAGTCCTTTCCCCAAAAGAGGGAGGGGTGGAAGTCCTGCCTGCGGCCCCTTTGTTGGACCCTGAAGCCTTGCCTCCCAGCTTTTCTGGGCAACACAGGACCAGGCGTGAACAAACAATTGCGCCCAGTCCTTGGGACTCTGGGAGACTTGTCACGAGCAACGCTGCCAGGTGACTATCTTGTTGGAAGAGAGAGAAAAAGAGAGAGAGAGAGGAGACAAGAAAGAAAAGAGAAAAGGGAAAGAAATAAAAAGGGGAGAGAGAAAGGAAGAAAAGGGATAGACAAAGAAAGAGGGGAGGATGGAAGGAAGGGACAGAAAGAAAAAGAAAGGAAAAAAAAGGGAGGGAGGAGAAAGTGAATGGGATATCTAGTCCAATCACCTACTCCAGCAGGGTTAGAAGTGTGTGTGTGTGTGTGTGTGTGTGTGTGTGTGTGTGTGAAAACTCCAAAAACAGGTCAAGTAGCTCTGGGGAGGTCAGTCATAAATTAGAACACTTGCTAAGAAACCTGCCATTAAGCGAGGACCACTTGTATTTGGTTTGCCAGTCACATGGCCATTTGGCCACGCCCAGCCAGTCACATGACCACCCAACCATGCCCAGCCAATCACATGACCCCAAGCCACACCCACAAATTAGGCCATGGCCACAGAACCAGTTAAGAAATTTGAATCCCACCCCTGGGTGGAGGGCACTGAGGATGAGTTTGTAGCATCAAGGGGACGGTGCACTGAAAAAGTTGGGAACCACTGAGCTAGATCATAGTATTAACTGAAGAAATGGACATCTTGTTGCATATATTGTATATTGATGACACTTAATTCTATATTTCCACTCTTGGTGACCCAAGTGATGCTGTGGCTGTTCTTTCATGGTGTCTGGAGGCTGTGAGGACCTGGATGGGGACAACAGACTTTGAACCATGGTAATATCGAATGGCTCTGGGTATGTAGGGATTCGAGACTTTGTCATCTTTGATTCTGGGTTTGGTGGCACTGCCCTAGAAAGACACAGTCCACAACTTGAGAATTTTCCTGGACTTGTGACTTCTGTTCCATGGCAGTAGCAGCTATGACATGCTTTGCACAACTGTGTTGTGTGCCAATTGCGGCTTTTCCTGGATCAAGATTCCCAGTGCTTAGTTGTTCGGTTCCTAGCCATCTTATGACTGGACTACTGTATTGTACTCTACATGGAGCTACCTTTGAAGAGCATTCAGAAGCTACAGCTGGTGCAGAGTGTAGCAGCATGGGTAACTTTGGGAGCTCCAAGAATGGCCCCAGTAACACCACTGCTCTGTAAGCTGCATTGGTTACCAGTTTACTTCTGGGTGCAATTTAAGGCGTTTGTCAACTTTGAAATGGATCAGGACTGCCGCAGCCATCTTTCTGTTTCTCAGATTGCCACACTCTGTGTGTGTGTGTGGGGGGGAGCCTGGAATGTCAGACCACACAACAGACCATCCCATAGGAACCAAATTCATCTTAATAGGTGCTGGCCAGAGACTGAGAGGAGTTGCCAAGGAGATGCCAGAACACCTAATTGGACAATGTGACCTGTGACCATGAGGAAGGGAATTATCTATTCTTTAATTATAACTGAAACTGAAATATTTAGAGGTTTTGTTTTCACCCATGCCAAAATAATATACTCAATAAAACAGTTCTTTGAGAAAGCTGAAAGTCTCAGAATGCTGAATTGGTTGAGTTTGTTAGTCAAAAGCTTGGCAGCATTGGTGACGACATTTAAAACCCTTGATGGCATGGATCCTAGTTACTTGAGGAGCTGTCACACCCCACTGGGATTGGCCCATACCTCTCATGCTGGCAGGGGGAGAATGCTGTGGGTCCTGTCAGCCCAATTATTCTGGCTAGTGGCTCCAGGAGGAGGGCTTTCTCTGCTTTTGCTCCTGTCTTCTGGGACATCTTGTCCCCCGATGTGAAGTTGGCCCTAACTCTCTTCTATTTTCACAAGGGCCTAGAGATGAGGTTTTGCCAGTCAGCTTGGGACCCAATGATCCCACCCAGCACAACGGAGGTGGTGACTGAGTAATAACAGAAACCAGATCCCTCCACTCGACCCCCATCCTCCCCATCTATCTTTGGTTTTAACTTTTGTCCTTAACCTCTTATGTTTTAGTTTAGATGTAACTGTAAGCTGCCCAGAATTATTCTATGGTAAGATGGGCAGCCAATAAATTTAATAAATGAATAAATGAATGAATAAATATTTAAGTCTCATGTTTGGTTGTTCATCTATATATACAAGGATCAATTATTTCACTAAAAAGCGACAAGTTCTTTCTTGTTCTGACCTAGTTTTCCCCAAATCACAAAGCAGACTCCTCATCCCAATAAAACCCCTTTTACAGTATTTAGGTTAAAGTAAATTCCTCTCCAATAAAGTACCGGCAAACGATCTTTCATGAAATTTCACAACTACAGACCTTTATCAGACTTGGAGAGTTGCCAGGCGATATCTTCCAATTACCATGCTATAACAGCAATTACTTGGCAAGAAGTCAGGAACAGATCTTCAGTCTATGAATTGAACTGCCTCCTGCAAACACCACTCCCCATTCACTCTTCTTTATTCCCTGTGGGAGGGGCCATTCACCATACACCTGAGCCTTTACTCCTGAGTCAACCTTGTTCCTTAACTGTTCCCTTCTCCTAGCAGCTCTGTGCATGGGCACACTGGGAACAGGCTCCAGCTGTTCTTCTGCCTCACTGATCTCCGACTCTGAAGGCAGCTGATAACTATCAGATGGCATTGGCCACATCTCTGCCTCTAACGCAGAGTACTCGTCAGAGCCTTCCCCAGAGTCCAGGACTGGCCTATGTTCCACTCCATCCTCCTCACTGTCCAAGTCTGCAGCCAGCTCCACTAACCGCTGGCGGGCCACAAAATTTTTCTGTTTAATCTAACTAGTAGATATCATTGTGCAGATTTGCTAAATGACTCATACAATAACAACCACTTGAAACTCTGCACTAGATGGGCGGTCTGCAGTCATATCATTAGGAGAGCAAGAATCTTTATGTTTGAATTACTAAGCATGCCGATAAAGATTACATGTTTTCTGAAAATACTATTTTGTTAAGTTCCAATTTAATAATTTTTCAAGTAAGTATAATTACCTATACTGCAAAAACATACCGATTCCCAGGCTATACCTGTCACTTAGCTTTGAACAAATTTACCAACCTCTCTAGCAATATGACCTAGCGCTTCATCTTCTGCAGAAAATCTGTCCTTCATTGGAGTTCTTTTCCTTCCTGAGCCAGGGGTCCCCATTCTTTTATACAATCTCAGATAGTTTCTCACAGTATTGCTTTAAATCGAAGAGCCTAAATCTGAAACAAAGAAAAAAGTATCAGCAGTTGGTGTACACAGTTTAGGAACCACACGTTCATTTTGCAAAATTTATGTTTTCCAAACAATCTAAACATTTTGTATGCCATGTAGTTTAATAGAATTATCCCATGCATTTCAATTATTTTAGTTAAACAATGTTTGAATTCTGTCTTATCAATTGTTTCTACCTTTTTAAAAAAACAAATCCTCATATTTTTAAGCTTTTATGCAGCAACATTTATATTATCTTAAATTTTATAGATCTAAGTATTTATTTTAGGTCAGCAAGCCAATCCCACAAATATGCATCCACAATTCCATTTAAACATTTTACTAAGTACATGAAATAATTATTAATATAGGAATTAAACTGAATTACCATCATAATCTTTTCAAAATAATGTGTGATAATCTATCATACAGAAATTTTAAAAATTCTTTGAAAAGAAGCCATATCATTTTAAGATAAAATCTAAAGAGAAACAATTCTTACATAATTTGCCTATATAGTAAATAGATACCATTAATTCTCTTTATGATGGTCAAAAGTAGCAGCAAAAAATAATACAGGTAAATCCTTAACATAACCAATTGCTTAGCAATCATTCAAAATTACAGTGGACCCACTGAAAACTACTTACAACTGGTCCCAAAGTAACAACTGTAGTGCCTGTGATCATTTTTCTTTACACCTGACCATAGGAATACCCACCTATCTTCTCCCCTAATGTCTTTATTAGGTTCCTGCAGGCATTGGGGATGGCTTCCCACTCTACCAAGACCCACACTTTTCTCATCCTACATCACTCATCACGCAACAAGATTTTCAGAGCTTAGGTTAGGGGGGGAAAGGCTACTTACAATTGTTGAGCTGTGTGGTGTGATCCCAGAAATGGCTGCCATTTTCTGAATGCCCATACTGAATTGCAGTCACTCGTGGGATCATGACACATGGCCCAATAATGGAATGATTTGCCTTTTCCGTAACACTAGCTCTGTAGCTGTGCTTCAAAATTGTATATCCTTAAAATGTGATACTAAGCTCAAGCTTGACTGCAATTTGTAAAAACCTCTATGCTGAATGGTTAAATAAGAATATACTGTAGATTGCAAATTAGAACAAAGTCATACTGAATAGATTACCTTGTCAATATGAGGATCCTCACCTACAGCAGTTTAAACCTACAGTATATCTTCCTCCTCTGCTTTTCCCACTTTAAAATATAAACTTTGACCAAGCCTTTCACGGCCCTGAAGCCAAGCCTTTGTTGATTACTGACATACTGTAACTGATATCTGTACTCTGAGAAATGCTGGACTTCAGCTGCTCTATTACATTAGAAGTTAATTTCTTCATCTTACTAAAAAGCCTGCTGACTATGAGAATTATGATTCTCAAAAAGCATGAAAGTGCTGGAGAAGAGCCTGAAATTCTTTACTTGTCTAGAAAGAGCTACTTGCAAGCTTGAAGTAAGATAAGTGTTAAACGGTGAGTCTATGCAAAGCAATTGAGAGATGAGCCTCACAAAGCAGATTACAGCAGATGAAGCCCCACTTTTCAAAGCACTGAAATAGTATATTCTTTGCCAGGCTTGTGTGGCTGTTCATTCACACAGAGACATTTCCTAAGAGACCACCAAGAAGTGGTCCCCCATAAATATACATGCATATACAAGCTTTGCAAAGAAATAATTATTTAAAGCTTTGAAGAGAAGCACCTCATATATCACCTTTTTCAAAAGTTAAAAATGACTTTTTTTTCCAGTTGTGTTTTCATCATCCAGTTTTGTTTCTTACTTTATTTTTCCTTTCAATGTACATACTTTTTCCATTATTTATCTCCTTATTTTTATTTTTTTGATGGTTTTACTCAAAAGAAACAAATGTGTTTGTGATTCTAGTGTGTTTCAGTGTAAAAGACAGAATACTTGATATTTAACATTTCAATTTGTGCTTATTAATCCATTAATATGTATTTATTCTTAATCCTAGTTGTATCTTCTTTTGGAATGTTGCCCATGGCGGGCAAGTTTTGCAAATATCATACATATACAATATGCATACTGTACACACATAAGGATGCACTAATTTATGCACTGGAGATCTTTAGAATAGATTCGTTCAGAATGTGAAACATTAAGTTGCCGACATAAAAAAATTGGCACTGCATAGGATTATTATCAGTGCCTCCCCACCCCCCAGCTTTATTTTTTAAGATCTTAAATTCAGAGGCATATTTCTTTGAGGCAAGTACAATATCTTCTGCATTAATGGGCTCAATTGTGCTACAGTGGATGATTCAGCATCAGTGCAATGATATAGTAATTATTTTACAATCAATAAATATTCTTAGCATTTATTTCACATATGAATGAACAGAGGAAAGGCATCCATTCCAATGTGGAAAATTTAAAACATAAAGAGTTAAGCAACTACGGTGAAATGAAAGGATTATTTGAAGAATGCTAAAAAATTGAATAAATTCTGCAAATTCTTGCATTTCTGATTTTAACCATTCAAATACTGAAACAAGACATACTGTTTCAATATTCCTAAAATTCCTAGGAAACTGAAAATCATTATTTGTAGAACTAGTAAAGAGTATATACTCAATTTTTTTCTAGGATCATTTACCTCTAAATAGTTTATAAATTAATAAATCAAATTATTTTCATCTGAAAGATCCACCGTGAGAAACCTTTGAACTCCCATCCCATGGGTAAGAGATTATAGCTTTATAATAAATGTAAATTTAAAAACTATAAATAAATAATAAAGCCCTGTCATGTCATTCAGAATCTCATGTATTTCCATCTTATATGTCCGTGCCAAAATAGAATATATTAAATGTTTACAATATTTTGAAGTGCTCACTTGAAATTTACTATAAATAAAAAGTGTATCTTTTTTCACCTAAAGCACAAATAGTTTTTAGAAACCACAAAAATGATATAAACAGCATTATTTACAGGCTTTTATTGTTTCCATATAGAACCCTATATGCTAACAATAACAGCCTGTAAATAATGCTGTTTATTACTTAATTATGGTTCTAGTTTGGTTTTAGTTTCTCATGGTTCTAGTCTCTGGTCCAGCACCTTAATCACTACACTAAAATGGCTTTTACTTGCATGTAATTTTGCCTTTTAATTACTGCTGATTTGCAGTATCTAATTTACAAAAATCAATCAATAGATTCCCCCATTTCCTACCCTCCCGTCAAAAAAAAGCAGTAAGATCTGGACCTTGATGCTGATGCTTAAGGGTAAAGGTGAAAAAGTTCAGGATACCAAAATCATTCCTATAGAACTCCAGAGTTGATAAAATGAAAACTTCACTTGCATTTTCTTTTAATTCAGAAGAGGGTTAAGGAGAAAAATAAGTGCTTAAACTTGCACAAAGTCTTAAGGCTTTCATCTCGTTCATTATATCTTCTAAGATTTGACCTTGGTCCCAGCTACATTTAGGAGTATATCCTCAAAATACTGCAAAACCTGTTGTGAGCCTTAAGATTGTAGAAGAACCATATTTATAATTGAAATATTGTTTTTAAAAACATGCATTTACTCTTCTTTGCCATTTTCACTGCAAATACTTTATTTCTAAACACAATCTAAGTTACCGATTATGACCGTTAAATGCTTAAATGATCTGGGAACAAGATACCTTAAAGACCATCAATATAATCAATACTACTATACTCGATCTCCTACAATGAACAATTTGCCTTACTTCCCTTCATAAAATAAGAAAATCTGCTGGATGTCAGGATTCTGGTAGTTACCCCAATTAAATCATGAGTCTTGAGCCAAACTTCCAAAACTAAACAGGATTTATTGTGAGTTAACATGTGGCACTACCTGGGTGTAGCCGACTCTGAGACACATAATACACTGTCACTCTTGACCCTGGTTTTCCCCCACCTGGGTGTATCATAATTCATATTCTCCAATGACACACATCCATAGCCAAGAGTCATCAATCATGTTCTCCAGTTAGATTTTTGCACGGCAGAAACTTCAATCACCTAGTTACAATCTCTGAAAAACTATGTATGGAATGCAGTTTCGATTTCCAAGCTGCCGCATTGCTCTTTCAAACCCCTTTCCCCCCTCCCTTTCTGTGGACAACTATAAAATGGCCATAAATGTTTTATGAGTTGACACTGGAAACAATTGAGAAGACCATTTCTGTGACAGCATCTAGATCACTACATTCTTTCTTTTGTTAAATGTATTCTCTTATTCTTCACACTATTTATTTTATTTTATTTTATTGGGTTTGTCAATTGCTTACAAGCTAATAGGTATAAGTAAAAACATAGTTATGAGTACATGGATACATATAAGAAAAGTAAAAGAAACAATAGGACAGGGACGGTAGGCACATTGGTGCACTTCTGCACGCCCCCTACAGACCTCTTAGGAAAGGGGTGAGGTCAATAGTAAACAGTCTAAAGTTAAAGTTTTTGGGGTCTGGGGAAGAAAGCACAATCAGGTAGAGTATTCGAGACATTGACCACTTTGTTGCTGAAGTCGTATTTCCTGCAATCAAGTTTGGTGCGATTAACCTTGAGTTTGTATCTATTGTTTGCTCTTGTACTGTTATGGTTGAAGCTGAAGTATTCATTGACAGGTAGGACATTGCAATGTATGATTTTATATACTATACTTAGATCAGTCCGAAGGCGGCGTAGTTCTAGGTTTTCTAGATCTAGAATTTGAAGTCTGGTGGCATAAGGTATTCTGCAATGAATAGAGGAGTGGAGAACTCTTCTTGTAAAATATTTCTGTACTTTCTCAACTGCGTTAATATCAGATATATAATGTGGGTTCCAGACTGATGAGCTGTATTGGAGTATTGGTCTAGAAAATGTTTTCTATGCTCTAGTTAGTTGTGTGATATTACCAGAGAAGAAGCTACGTAGGATTAGATGAACAACTCTTAACGCCTTTTTGGCTATGTAGTTACAGTGGCCTCTAGCACTTAGGCCATTAGA